TCTCCGCCCGCTCCGCAGTCGCCTCTCCGCCGCACAGTGTCCCCAGCAGTGCGCAGGGCTCCCGGCTCTGCGCCAGAAGCGCGTCCGCCAACACCCGCTCCATTGCGCGGGGAGCTGACCCTGTGCGCGTGCGCCGGCCACTCTAAGTTCGAGTGCGCGTGCGCAGCGAGAGATTCCCACCCACACACACCCTGACAAGCATAGGACCGCCTAAAGTTCCTTTCACTTTGATGGGGTCCTAGAGCCCCAGGGTGTGGTGCCTCCTGCCACTCTGTCCCTTACAGTTTTTTAGAAAAAGGAGTTGCTGCAGACGTTCACTGTATTATTACACCAGGTTTGGAGATTCCTGACTGGAAAGAGACCTGGGGCCGAAATTAGCTAACAGGCGCTAAATTCACGTAGATGTCCATCGCAGTCCCCCAGGTAGAGCTACCACAAAGACCCTAACACAGTGGATCCGATATGCACTCTGGATTTACGTGTTGACAATAAGTCATGAGGGAGATGGCTCGTTGGGTAAAGTGCTTACTCTGTAAGCATGAGCATCTGCATTGGAATCCCCGCGGAGGGGTACCTGCCATTCAGCATGATGGAGACAGAAAGATCCCTGGAGTCGCTGATCAGCCCATATGGCTAAGGTCAGTTCCAGGTTCAGTGAGAGAACCTGTCTCTTGGGAACTAGGTGGAGAAAAGGGCTTGGTGACACACGCCTTTAATCCCAACCCCCGGGGGAGGATGAGGCAGGAGGATAACTAGGTCAGCCTGGTCTACATTGTGAGCTCCAAGACTACAAAGAGCAAATAAACAAACTCAAGGTGGAGGATGATAGAGGAAGACATCAACCCCTAGCTTCTGCACACACACACACACACACACACACACACACACACACACTCACACACACACACTGAGCAGTCTCCACCTCAATACAAACATATACTCCACACAATGACAAGTCATGAAGTCAGGTTGTGCATGATTGTCATTATAAATAAGTCCCAGAAGTCTGAGGCAGGAGGATCACCAGTTCAAAACCTGCCTGGGCTACATAATGAGATCAAGATCAGTCCAGGCAATATAGTAAGACTCTGTCTCCAAAATGTAAGAGGGCCAGGGGTAGCAACTAGGTGGGAGAAAACTTTCCCAGCATGTATGAGGTCCTGGGTTCAAACTGGGGGCGGGAGCAGGAGGGTAATGTAGATAAAGTAAGAATGACTTGGGTGCTGGCATCAGGGACCTCACACTTAACAGAACAGGTTGCAGCTGAAAGCAAGGTGTCCACAACACACTGAACCCAGGGCCCTCGTGCAAGAATACAGATCTATACTTCTGACGGTTTCCACTGCTAGATTCGGATTCAGATAAAGAAGACCTTGGGGCTGGAGAGATGACTCAGTGGTTAAGAGCACTGACTCTTCTTCCAGAGGACCCAGGTTCAATTCCCAGCACCCACATGGCAGCTTACAACTGTCTGTAACTCTAGTTCCAGAGGATCTGATACCTTCACCCCAATGCACATAAAATAAAGACTAGATAAATTTAAAAAAAAAAAAAGATTCATCTTGGCATACTCATTGCTGGTCTCACTCCTCACTGAATCCCAGGTTTAACTAAATGAGTGGCATGGATTCTCCTTGACTCTGTATGCATGGATACTGTCCCTCAGTCAATGAGGGAGACACAGTCCCACCTTCAAATAGCTTGACATATAATAACATGGATATAGTTTTAAAGTTAACTGATACTGCAAATGAAAGATTCCCCCCATGTTCCTTTTGGCTTTGGCAAAACACATAAAAGATTCCATTTTAAACCCACTTAGAATGTTAGTAAAAACCTATTGCTTAGTTCATGAAAAGTGGTTATAAATATCATTTCTTTCAACATAAATGGATGTCAAGCATAAAAAGCTAAAGATTTTGAGCAGACACTTAACAAATGAAGATATAAAATGATACACACTTGCAAAAGTGTCTGACTTTTTAATCAGGAGAGAAATGCACATTAAATCCACTAGGAGACAGACACCCTTTCATGCTCCTAAGGAAGATTCAAAACACCAAGAGAGGGCTGGCAAGATGGCACAGGGGGTAAAGGTGCTTGCCACCAACCCAGACAGCCTGAGTTGGATCCCATGTGGTGGAAGAAGAAAACTGACTCTTGCAAGTTGTTTTCTGACTTCTATGCTACGACATTACGACATGCAGTCCTGTGTGCACACACTCAAATAAATAAATACAATAAAAAATATAACTGGGTAGTGATGGGGAATGTACTGTGTATGTTTATCTTATTGATTGTTAAATAAAATACTGTTTGGCCAATGAAACAGCAAGTTAGATGGGACTAGGAGTCAAAGAGGATTCTGGGAAATGTAGAGAAGTGGTGATCCAGGCAGGAAGTGACATAGCAAGGAGACTCATATTTAAAGAAGGATAAACAGGAAGCGTGCCTCTTTTCCCCTCTGCTCCTGCTCTAGCGGCACAATGTGATCCACCGGCAAGGAGAGACGCCAATAAGGCGTCCGATAAGATAAGTCTTTTAAAATATATAGGCTTATGATAGTTAAGACTGAGCTAACAGATGAGAATCCTAGTCATTGGCCAAGCAGCATTGTACCTAATACAAGTTTCTGTGTATTCATTTGGGCCCTAACTCAGATTTATCGTAACAGGGTAGTGTTAATGCATGCCTTTAATACAAGCTTTCAGGAGGCAGAGACAAGCAGATCTCTGTGTGTTCAAGGCCAGCCTGGTCCATAGAGTGAGTTCCAGGATAACCAGGGCTGTTACACAGAGAAACCCTGTTTTGGGGAAAAAAATTATACAGTATTTTAAATTACCAAATGACAAGGACCAAGGATGTAGAACTAGGAAGCTTTTGCATTACTGGCAGGCAGGAAAATGTTAGGATTGCTTTGAAATACTGTTTCCTATAAAGATACAGTATACCTACCTTACAATGTAGCAAGCACAAGCCCTCATCCCCTACCCTCTCCACCTCCCCACCTCAGCTATTTGATTTAAATAATGTCTAGACTAAAAAATCTTTGTAGGAAGCAGCTTTTTGTAACATTAGTCACTGCAGTTAAAACTTTGTAGCAAGCTAAACATCCATCAGCATACACTGGATACACAAGTAGCCATTTGCGAGATAAGGCCATGGGGAAAGTACAGAGAGCTGATCACTCATCTCTGCAGCAAAGTGGATAAATCTCAGTTCTCCAACAGTGTTTTTTCATCCTGAGGATTCCATTTGCTGACATTCAAACATCAATAAAGTGCCTATTGTGGTAGAGATGAGGATTGCAGCGGCCCATGGAGAATGTGGAAGGTCTAGGATCAGGAGACAGGGAAGCTTCTAGGGCAATATTTTAATGGGATTCAGGCGTTGATTACACAATCTAACATTTGTCAAAATGCCTTGAATCCTTGAGAGCTTTGCATTTCATTCTGTGTAAATTTTATCTTGGTTTTTTAAAATGACTTCTACAAAAGAAAAAAGTAAGTTGGCCTGTGTGTTTGATCTCTTTTACCCATAGACAAATCCAGTGAAGAGCATGGCTCTGGGCTAGTCAGGAGCGGATGAAGGCAGCCAGTTTGATAACATGATAACCAGACCCCTTCACAGCTCCTCCCCTGCCCCAGCTTCCAAGACCTTTACTCTCTCCTCTACAGGGGTCTTCTGAGTCACCAAGGGATGTAAGGGTGTAATTGCTAAGTCACCTTTTCTGTCCTTACCTAACTCTAGTGCTCCCCCTCCCGTGTATAAGCCTGTGTGTGTGTGTGTGTGTGTGTGTGTGTGTGTGTGTGTACATGCACACATGCATACTTGTTCGAATGCATTCCTGTGTATGTACACATAGAGGTCAATCTCAAGTGCTGTTCTTCAGGCCCTATCCACCTTGATTTTTGAGAGAGGGTCTTTCACTAGTCTGGAACTTGCCAAGTAGGCCAGTCTGGCTGGTCAGGGAGCTCCAGGGGTCTGCCTGTCTCCACATCCTGAGAGCTGGGATTACACTTTCAAACTGGTAGCCTCTTTTTAAATTATTATTATGTGCACACATATATGTATATGTTTACACAATATATAAATACAACCCACTAAGTACATTTTTGTGGTTTGCATGTATATGGTTTCAGGGATGACCACTTTATATTGGATAGCCAATTTGGGGGGGTAATGTCCAGGAGAGGCTAATTCTCCCTCTCTCCACAGTCATTAGTTGCTGTAGTTCTTTGTCTAGAAGTCCCCTCCCTGCCAGTCCTGTCATTCTTGAGCCACTGTGTTCCTCTGAGGTTCCTTCTCTGCCTTCCCTATCCATTTATTTTCTCTGCTTCCCCAGCTCCACCAGTGTCCTCCTGTCTTTCTGCCCATGTTTTCAGAGTGCCATCTGCTGCCGAGCTCTGTTTTTTCATTCTGCAAATTCCTTCTGAATAACTTTGTTAAAACCATAGTCTTGGGGTTGGGTAGCTCAGTTGGTAGAGTGCTTGTCTAGAATGCATGAATCCGAGGGTTCCACCCCCAGCATCACCTAAACCAGGGTGGTGGCACATGCCTGCAATCCCTGAACTTCAGGGTGGTGTAGGTAGAGGCTGGAGGATCAGGAGTTCCAAGGTGTCCTTTGCTGCATACTGAGTTTGAGGTCAGCCTGTCTCAAAAACCAAACTATAGATTTGATTGACCTCCATTCGAATGATGATGACGAACAGTGTGTCTTCCAAGCATTCCCTCCTAGAGGAGCACACCAGAGTGTCCATCCAGCTGCCAATAAGACATCAACATTAAACTACACTCAGAGCATCATTCTCTCCCCACTTTCACATCCTGCCCTTAGTGTTGTCCCTCCCACTGCCATGCCTCCATCATTATTACTTTCTGCCTGTTTGGACATGAAGCTGCCCTGCAAAGGCTCACATGTTGAAGGCGTGGTCCCTGGTGACTGTACTGAGAGGATTCTGTTCAGGCCAATGGATGAAGCTGTTGATGAATTCACAATCGGATGGCATTATTGTGAGGTAGTGCCAGCCTTGACAGCTTGGAGAAAGTGATCACAGGTGGTGTGTCTTAGCTTGTCTCTGTCCCTTCTTTCTCTCTTTCTCTCTTTCTCTCTCTCTCTCTCTCTCTCTCTCTCTCTCTCT